ACTATAGTGAGTAAATAGAGACATTCTCACCATAATACAAATGACAGCTGTCATGCCAGTTTGTTATTTATTCAGGATTGTCTGAACTTTAATGGGCTGAATAAATAATAATAATTAAAGTCCATTCGGGGGCTTATTTTTTTGTTATTTTTGTTGTTGTTTTGTTGTATTTGGGGGCTTATTGTGTGCTGACTACTAGGCTATGTTCTTTGCTCACATCACCTCATTGTACTTTTGTCACAATATTTTGAGTGGGCAGTCACTTTCTAGGTGAGGAATTGAGAGCAGAGAAGGGAGACTGAGATAGTTAACGTTTATTGTGCCAACATGGCCAATGAACACATGTGGGATTAATTGAAGGGCAGAGAGATAAATGGCATGGTGAGCCTCACCTCTCTTGTCTCTTGCTCTTTGATCATCGGACCAGTGGCTGCCTTGCTTGTTCTGTGCCTCAATTTGCAAGCTACACTACCTGTGGGACACCTAACCTATGGACTGTGTCATTGTAATTTGAAGTTCCTTCAAGACCAGCTTCGCCACACCATTGGAATTTACATCTGGGTGACTGTTGGTGACCTGTCTTGCTGTTTGCTTCCTGTGCCCAGATAGCCTGAATTTCTCTACAGAGGACTACCTGGCGGCCCTCAAGACTTGAAGGACTGCCAGTGTCTCACAACTGTCTCACGGGAGTGAATTGCACTGAGCCATTTGTACTGCTTTATAATTTAATTAACTGTGTATTTCTTATGTTATATATCTATCTGTATAAATATATATATAAGTATTAGCATTCTGGTTTTGTTTCTCTAGTGAACCCTGTCTAACACAGAGACAGTTTGGCAAAGGTTAGTTTGACAGTAAAGTAAAAGAATGGGGTAAGACAGGGAGGGGTGACAAATAGCAAACATTGGGAGAACCTCCAGTTATCTATCATAAAGTCAAATATTATTTTTATAGACTGATAAGCATGTTATTCTTTATGCATAGTGAATTCAGGAAGGCTTAATGCATATAGGGAGTCTCTGAATGTTGCAAATGGTTAACATGCTTCACTGATAACCTGAAAGGCTGGAGGTTTGACTTTACCCCCAGGCACGTTGGAAAGAAGACTTGGCAATCTGCTCCTGAAGAAGTCAGCATTGAAAATCCTACAGAGCACAAGTCTTCTCTGACTCACATATGTCACTATTCTTCAATACACACTTTGGGTTTTGACACAATGACCACTGATTTACAGGTGGCAGATATACAGTCACCAGTTCTCTTTGGAGGAAACTTCAATTTTAGAGAAGGTCTCTGAGGCTTCATTCCCAGGATCCTTATTTAAAGGTTCTTTTGGTAACTCAATTACTTCCTCATTTAATGCCTGATAAGGTCATTAAACTCCTATTTTCTTAAAAAAATTTCACATCTAAGTGAGGAACACATATTAGTTCTAAATTCTTTAATCAGACTTCAAGTAATAAATTGCAAATTTAAGTGTCCTAACCCACTTTGTAAGCCTTCCTTCTGTTCCTAGGCTTTCTTTGTGGCATGGATCAAAGATCACATTTCCCACATTCTGTACCCTCACTGGGTTGTATCCTCTCACATGTGTATTGAATCTTTATGATAAGCAAATAATCAGAGAAGGTGGTTCATATAAAGGAGAGCATGACAGGAGAATTGGAGGAAGGCTTATTAGCACCCTATGATATGCAGCTGACACAACCTTCCTTGCTGAATGTGATTAGGTCTTGGAGCCCTTCCTGATGGAGATCCAGGGTCACAGCCTTCACTGTGGATTACAACTCAATGTAAAGAAAACCAAAATCCTGACAATGAAACCATTAGGTAACATCATGATAACTAAAAAGAAGAGATAAAAGTTGTCAAGGATGTTGTCTTGTTTGCATCCAAAATCGATGCTCATGGAAGCAGCAGTTAAGAGAGAAAATGATTCATTGCATTTGGGTAAATCTACTTTTCACGACTTTGTTAAGTCGTGAAAACCAAGAATGTTAGTTTGAGGTCTAAGTTGCACCTAATCCAAGCCATGGTATTTTCACTTGCTTCATATACATGTGAAAGCTGAACATTCAATAAAGAATACCAAAGAAGAATCAATGCATTTGAATTATGGTGCTGGCAAAGGATATTGAAAGTACCGTGGGCTGCCAAAAGAACAAATAAGTCTGTCTTGGAGAAAGTACAGCCAGATGCTCCTTAGAGGCAAAGATGGTGAGGCTTTGATTCATGCACTGTGAACATGTCAGGAGAGACCGGTTCTAGAGAAGAACACTCTGCTTGGTCACGTAGAGGGGCAGTGAAAAACAGAAAGGCCGTGACAAGATGGATCGACACAGTGACTGCAACAGTGGGTTCAGGCATGGAACCGACTCAATGGCATCTAACAACAATACCCCCTGTTTTGTGTGTGTCTAACAGAAGGATGATGGAAACTGGCCCTGAGGGCTTTTTCTTCTCATGGCCCTGACTACACTTAGATATTTAATGCTTCCCTCTGTGTACATGTTGTCTACAGAATACAGGGATGTGTAAAAAGTTGTTGTATATATGGGTAGCTGGTAGAAGAAGAGAGAGCGGTGGGCTCAGCAAGTGGCTTGTTAGGAAGGGTGGCTGCACCATGACAATAAGCCATAGATGATGGTAAGAATTCTGGGCAATACTCTGGGAACAGAAAGTTGTCTAATCATTAGGAATATGCATGCAAGAAAAGTATGAGACCACTGAAGAGATCTTTGCTGTGGCTCTTCGACATGGGAAGTTGGTGCGTTTCAATGAGCATGTTAACATAGCCAATTACAAGGAAGCAAAATAGCATGGTGCATAAATGTTGATAAGATGTCTACACTCAATAATTCAGGTTCATTGGGTAGCACCATACACTCAAGTTGTTTTGAGCCTGGCTAAATGGTAGAGAGGAGATGAGAGATACTATTTACTTACACAAATCTTGTAAAACTTGTTACCCCTAACCTCATTGGTACAATTGTGATATAAATCCTAAACTCATGGAATTGTTCCGTGAAAGTCGTGGATAGAGCAAGAGAAAGCACCATGGCATAAAGGAGTGCTGAAAAACTGGCTGCTATGAAATGAAAGAGGTGCGGGTAGTTCACTAGTAAATGGCTCACCTTCCATGTCAGAGACCCATTGATTCATGGACATTGCACTTCATGCACAGCCACCAACCATCTGTTAGGGGGGTGCTTTTTTTGTTGCTATGTTGACACATTTCAGTGATGCTTCCAGACTATGATAGACTAGAAGGAAAGTGGTGGTCTACTTCTAAAGTTTTCATCCACAATGAAAACGTTGTGGATTATAATGGTCTGTGTTTGGATTGCAATGGTCTGATCCACAAATGCAGGGGATGACACAGGATTGGACAACGTTTTGTTTTATTGTGCATGGGTTGACATGAGTTGGGAATGAACCCCCTATCCGCCAATAACATTAAACGCAATGGGAAATCCCTCATGTTTGGGGGCTTTTCCTATACTGGGACATTTAAAAATAATGATAATCTCTTGTGATGTAAGATATTATAAATATTAACTATGAAGGAAGCCAGAGTAACAATACTCAGTTGACAGTGACAGGCCTTTGGAGAGGCAAAATCCCAGGGAAGATGTTATTTGGGGTATCCAGCAAGTCCTCTGTGTGTGCGGCACCCCGCTTCACTAAGTAATAACCTTCACTTTATTGCTGCAATATATGTTCCCAAATAACAGAGCCAATTCCTCTTTTCTTTTTGCAAAACCACTTAACAGAATGAGCCTGGCTTTGGGACATTGCTTTAGGAAATGAAAGACCACAGAATCAAGATGCCTCAACTCTGACCACAGCAAGGGCAACAGGAACTCAGGAGGGCCCCAGAAGGAAGGAACAGCCTTCTGAGTCCATGCCTGGTTTTGATAAAATGATGCAAGGATCAGACGGGCTTAGCCATGCCCCATGGCTAGCCGCTGATGCTTTCCCCACTGCTGGGGCCATCTGATACCTGTTACACTCAAGAAAAGGCTCCAGAGACCTCTTACCATGGCTGCTGTGTTGTCTTGCCATTGTTGTTCTCTCTCTGTCTCTCTCTCTCTGTCTCTGTCTGTCTCACCCCTCAGCTTAGAGCCCCCTGAGCAGCAGTAGCCTCTATAAGAGAAAAGCTCACACTCACTACCATTAAGTTGATTCCAACTCAAATTCATCCTACAGGACAGAGTAGACTTACCTTGGTGGGGTTCCAAGACTGTAAATCTTTACGCAAGTAGAAAACCTTCTCTTTCTCCCAGGGGAGGCTGGCAGTATCTGCCACCAGGGCTCCACAAAAGAGAGAGAAATGGCAGTGACCTGTGGCTCCTGCTGGACTTTAGATTTACTCAGATCAGATCCGACTTCCTGTTTGGCTTATGCCCCTTTACCCTGATCCCCAACACACGAAGGCCAGTCCTTCGGGGGGAAATGTTTGAGAGAGGAATTGTAAGTTTGGTCTAACAGGTAGCAGAGTGAACAGTCTCCCCTTCTTTTGCCCAATCACCCCACATGTCAATTCTGCATTTCTCTCCTTTCCATTCTCTGAGGCCACTGCGATGGAAACTCTTTTGGTAAATTTGTATGGTTGCTGACGTTTCAGGAGGAAAGAGGAATCACTCTGTTCAATTAGCATCAAAGGAAAAGGGAGGCAAATGATAACTTGAACATCACTTTTTGGGACAGGCGAGGCTGGGTGCCAAGGGATGAGAAAGATGCAAAGGTAGCTTCCTACAGCTCACTCCCATTTCATACACTGACTCACAAGAGGAAAGGAATAATTTCTCAGCCACAGCAGAACAGGTGAGGACATTTGATTCTTGCTTTATCCAGTTACCGGTAATCTTTCTTGCATCACTCACTCTTGTTGGATTGACCAATAGCACAACAGGCTAGCGCCTGAGCCCTGCTGATATAAGTGCTGCCCTGTGTGCTAACCTCAGGGCTGAGACCAAGAACAAGACACAGCTGGCATGGGACAAGCAGGGCGCCAGTTCCGAGCTCTGCTCTGGAAGAATTGGCTCTGCCGCGTGCGGCACCCGGTGAGTGCTTGCACGTGTGCTCCCAGAGACTGGTGAGCTGTGTGCAGAGACCACAATCTGTTCTGAGGTGCCTGCCCCGCTCTCCTCCTGTCAGGGACAAAGGTCTGCGCACCCTGCAGGGAATTTGTAGAAGCTAGAATGTGACAATCCGATCTGCTCTTAGCACAAAATAGCTGAACCCTAAGGACCAGCACAAAACTGAGACTAGAATTCTGGCCGAAAAAGCTTGCTGGCAAAACAAATCAAAGCATGCGATAGCTCAAAATCTACTTTGAAATGGTAGACTTTAAAATAGTCGAACGTGTTTTGAAAATTATGATGGCAGCATATGTACAAATGTACTTGGCACCAGGGTGTATGTATGTATGGATTGTGATAAGAGCTGTAAGAGGCCCCAATAAAATGATTTTGAAAAGAAATAGTAGACTGAGCAATAATTGAAAGTTTGGACCTGTATGGCAAAAATAGAACTTCTCTTTCTCTGCTTTAAGGACAAGGTATCAAATACAGTTAATGCACAACGTGTATACCCAAAGTTTGGGTCTGCCAGACCTATCCAGTACTATTCTTTGATATCAAATTTTTAGTGGTCATTACTTATGTTTTTGGAACTCTATCCACTCTACATTGCCAAGTTTTTTTCTAAGAAGACCAGAATTTTTGCTAATACTACATGAATACCATACATATTAACAAAGTAGAATCAATTATTATGATGATGATGAATTGTCTCCTGATCCTAATGGTGTTAGATGAAAAATGATGCCTGTAAATAATGCTTTTTGTCAGAAGCAGGTCATCAGTAATATCTCTATATTGCTTCAGATTTGAAAATCTCTACTCATTGTGGAGTTATACTGACAAATTCTACTTAAAGACATTCTCCCAATTGACATTTAACCAAATTTTGCTTATTTTTATATCTAAAATATTTGTTATCTTTTCCTCAATATAAAATAGGCATTAGTAAATTCTCTCTCTCTTCCTTTAAGAAAGGATGTTTAGGATCAGAAAAACTCCAATTGGGAATTTATACAAAATTTTTGAGGCCACTGTAATTACTCTTTTGTTTCTTTTAAAATAAAATCTAATTTTTAATAAAGAAATAAGCAATTAGCCAGTGGGAAACTCAGTCTTTATAAACTATTAGTGCATTGCTACTTGTGTAAGTATTTTTCAGTTTACCAACACTATATTTTATTGACCTATAGGTTTACTTTGGGAAATTGAATCTAGTTTTCCATGAAAGAATATGATAGGTGGAAGATAGTCTACTATGAGCTACTCTTTCTGCTTTATCTACTCATTTCAACTTTTAAACATTCCTTCAGGGTGGTCCCATGATTATTTACTCCTTATTCTTGGACACTTTAGTTTTAGGAGCCCTGGCTTCACAGTAATTAAGAACTCAGCTACTAATGGAAAGGTTGAAAGTTGGAACCCACCAGCTTCCATAAATATTGAAACTTTCCTATAGGGTTGCTATGATTTGATTTGTTGGGCTGAGTTTGGATTGAGCTTGAGTTGTCTAAATTTTGAAAATTAAATAAAAAATTGTCTGATTATTTTATGCTGCTAAGACAAACATCTTTATCAGAAATATTTTATTCATTTACTTATTTGAAGACCACTTATTTTACATTGTTAACTCCTTGGTGCTGCTCTCTTAGCAGTCAGTGCCTATCCCCAATGGACCTACATTTATAGAGGATGCAGTCAGGGGCCCAGTTTGGTTTCTGACTGCATAATTGAGTTAGAATAGAATCCCAGGTGGCCAGGATGTATGTTTCCATATATTTATGCAATTGCATTAGAAATATTAAGATCAGGACCATCAAGGAAAACATTGCAACCCTGACCTATTTTTACTGCTTCCTCCAGCTCTCCTATGATCACCTGTACATTTTTAATTTTCTGAAATATAATCTATGGAACAACTAATCTGCCTCAGTGGTTGAGAGGTCTCAAATGAATTTCATTTAGTGAATTAGCACCAGACATTATTTGTAAGATAGGTACACTAGAGGAGAATGGTTGTCTTTTTATATTTTTCTTTTAAAGTCATTCCCTTATAGTTTATTATATTTGCTATTCTGTTTTTATTAATTTTGTAGCAAAAATAGTTTAATGAGTAAATAGTGTTTATCATCTAGGTTCATATATTATCAAAATTCTATTGTTCTTGGAAAAAATGTGTCAAGTCATTTTTATAATTTAAATGCCAGCTGCTTTTTTCTCTTGATTTTTATTTATTGCACTAACAGTACTAAGGGTAGCTTTCAAAAATAATCTAAAATCTCATTATCCTAAAGCATATATGGTTTCTGTAATCTTGTATTGTCATCAGGCATATAGAATACAATATTTTTTCATAATCAAAATAGCTTTTTACTTTTCTTTTTTCACTTAACATTGATGTCGATGATTTTATATTCTGCTGTTTGCTTCTCATATTTAATACATTTATTATACAATAGTTTATCCATTGGATACTCAGAGTTATTCCAGTCATTTTCTTACATTGGGCATTTGGTTTTCCCTTTTCTTACCATTATAAATGTCATCTTTATGCATGGGAAGTGTATATTTAACTGGATTATTTCTTTTGAGCAAATCTTTGATTCAAAAGTTCAATAGATCTGAAAGACTTTGCAGAGCCACTAGTCTAGACAGAAAGTTTCCGAGTAATGTCATAAACTTTGCCAAATACCCATTCATCAAGAGTCAAACTTTTCTACATGGATTGATATGAAGAGGTTTTGACATGCCCTGGGAAAAAAATGATCATTTCATTCAATTTTTCTTTGAGCTTTGTGGCATCCTCCTCTTATAAATTCATGTAGAAAAGGCTGCTGGGTATTTGAATTATAAGCAAATTAAATTTAAAAATTAATTGACTTAAAAGAAAAATATAATGAAAATTTCCCCAGAGTTTCTTGAGCCCATTTAACATATAAATTTATATGTTAATTTATACTCAGATTCCATTTGAACTGTAATCTAATGTCTTGCTTTTGATTTTAAAAATTCCATAGCAATAATAATGAGGAGACAAAGCACAAAATGTATGCCTTTTGGTCTCTCCTCGTCCTGCAGTTGTGGGCGACTTTCCCTGCGTGCTGCGTTTGAAGTCCCGAACAACCAATGCCACATGTAGCTACGTGGAGAGTACAGATACTTTAACCTACTGCATCCACTCAACGAATTCTCTCCTGACCACTGTTGCCTCCAATCTCCTGCGTTTGTGGGAATCTTTGTTCTGCGTCTCGCCTCCTGTGACTGTCCTCTTTTGAAAAAAGTATGCCAATCCAACAGTTTCTACATATTCTGTTCAATGACCCTGATGATATTCTTCACTCTGTGCAACCATTCTCCCCCTCCGATCCTGATTGTACCTTCTCATTGACACAAATTCATGCCTCACTGAGTTTCTATCTAATTTTTGAGTGGCTGCTATCGATTTGATGCCATAACAGAGCAGAATGCTCAAGGGACACATTTTTAACTTGTTTTTTGAAACTATTCTTTGGTCTAACAATAATTTCAGGGGATATTTTTGGTTTAAGGTTTAAAGATGATCTCCGTGCAATATTTTCAGGGTTTTTTTTCAACCTCCAGGACTCCAGGAAGTCTAGATTTCATGGAAATGTGAAATTCTGTGCTGCACTTTCCCCTTTTAATCTGGATTCCTCTAAAAAGTTTTAGATCATCATGGTCAGTAATGATAGGTGGGCATCTTTCAGTTTTTCTGGCCTCATGGCCAAGGAGGCAGTTTTTCATGGAAGCAATTAGCCACACATACCATGTACTCCTCCTGTTCGTGACTCCCCTTCGTCTGTCGTTCCAGGTGAATAGAGAACTATTGCAGCTTGGACGACACATGCAAGACCACAGACACTACTCAGCACACTAGAAAGTAGAACAGAAGCACTTAGCATGCCGTAATGCCAATTGATTGTTCCATGAAATAATGACCTTAAAATTCCAATTCAAGGAACCCACTCCCCTGCAGGTTGGGTTGTACATAAGCAGCCTCATTAACTCCTCTTTTACTTCCTTCCCTTTCGTTGTCATTGCTGTAAATATGTCTAGCATACAACTTTTTCCAATGCAACTCTTTACAAGTGCATAACTTACTGACAGTTATTACCATAATGGGAAATGTAACTGTTCCCTTACTCGATGCTTTATTTCTACCACACCAAATTCTCTTCCCCTCCAATACACGATAACCACTAATAAACTCGGGGTTGACTTTGTGGTTTTCTATACATATGTGCCTTTTCTTGTTGTTTATATGTGACAGCAGACAGTATTTGTCTTATATGACCGATATATTTAACATAGCATATTGTCTTCCAGCCCCACAAATATTATAGCATGTATCATGACTACATTTCTTCTACAAGCTGAATAGTAGTCCACTGTTTGTACGTCCCACATTTTGGGTGTCCGTTAATCTGTTCATGCATATTTAGGTGTTTCTACCTTTGAGCTATTGTGAACAGTGCTGCAATGAACATTGGCATACAACTTTCTATTTGAGCCTCTGCTTTCAAGTGTTTGGGTCTATACTCAGCTGTCAGTGATGGAACTAAGGAAGTGCTGGGGTTTTTTAATGTGCTGTGTGACACGTGACACTGAGAAGTGGTGACACCAAATGTTTATAGAATTTTCTGCACTGTAACAGCAGAAATACATTATTTTGTATAAAAATATCACTGTATTTTGTATTAACAAGAGACCTTTAAAATATAATCTTTTGTAATTCCAGTTTATATGTATCAATTTTGTCTGGGGTCTATACTTGAACCTTCTAGTGCATCCAGTCAAAGTTATTACTATCACCCAATTACAATCCCATTTCAAATCATTTGGTTTTGTCTGCAGGAGCTATAAGCATGTGCTGCTGTTCTTATTGCTGTTGGTGCTTTTATAGGCACTAATTTTGCCAAAACCTGATATTCAACTACAGTATTGTGGTAGTTAGTATTTATGAG